CATCAATATACTGGAAAAGCCGATTGATTTTAAACGTTTTACTGAATTTTCACGAAAAAGGTCTCTAAAGTTTTTAACCAAATTCGTTGCATCAACATAAATTAAGAAGAATAAGAATACTTTAATATCAACTAGACAGATAATATAAATATCATTGAAATAGTTTGACAGAGCTCACTAGCGGACCCAGGATTTAATTTTGCCCCCCTTAATTAATTTAACCCAGGATACATACATGGGTATATATGAGTGGCTTCATACCAAAGAAGGACATCAGCCCTTGTTAATAAGCGGAGAAAAAGTCAAATTCTAATTCAAACTGTTTCTGATGATTTTGTTGAGGATTATTCAAGTTTATACATGAAAAAAAAAAACGCTGCAAATGATTTCACAATGGTTTATTATCTCCAAACAATTATACATCTAAAGTAACATTACCTTCCGAGTTTCAAAAAAAAAAAAGGTGATTCCAATTATTAGACTAAACTGTTTTTCTTTAATTATTAGTAATATGCTAAAAAAAAATAGCATTATTTCAGTAACACATTTAAAATTTAAAAACCAAACCAAGGATATAACATTTGGAGTAGAACACATAAAAACAAACCAGAGACCATATCTTTGCTCCTAATTGTCCGATTTTAACGATTTTTTTTTTTTTGTTTTTTAGGAAATTTCATAAACTTTTATATGGTTGTATAAAAAAACCATAGATATAGATAAATTTAAAGGGCGTCGAGAAAATGACTTTAGCGAAGTTTCGTTGAAATCTGTACATTCGTTTAGGAGCTACAGTCTATAGCAACGCAGGTTTTTCGGCCGCCATTTTAAAAGTTAAAGACGGAGAGTAATGTCGATGAAGGAGGATCATCCTCGGGCGACATCTGATTTTATATCAAAATTTGAAAAAAATCGGTCCAGTAGTTTCGGAGAAAATGCGCGGACGGCGGACGGCGGACGGATAAAAAAATTTTTATTCGTTTTTCGAATTCTACGCATCTTGAAACGTGAAACCTCAAATTTTGAGAGGGGTTATGTTTTTGAATTTTTTTGTCGATCACAATGTTTCATTATTGAAAATAATAAACCAAAAATCACTATAATTGGTTTAAATTGAAGCTATGTTACAGAAAATTGGCCTTTTGTGAAATTTTTATAAATGATTATGAATTATGATAGTTTTCAACATGAGGGCACTCATATATTTTTAATGTTTCATTCTTAAAAATATAACGAGGAAGAGCGTCCTTTATTTGTATTATAATTTTTTTTTTGGTCATACGATCATTTTTGGATTCATAGATTTTTTTTATTCTGGACTCCGAATCGTCGGTTCATTTCTAAAAATCATTGAATACCAGTAATTGAATGAAATAATTGTGAACTCAGTTTAACATTTTTTTAAGAATACTAGAATTTGTGTTATTTTCTTCAAATTATGAATCCAACAATAAATATGATTTAAATTAACAAATATACACTTAATGATTTCTTTTCAGTAAACCGATGTAATGTCGGTAAAACGTATAACTTGGTCGGTGAATAGCTAGTAATGCAGTATGGTATGTTAGGTGCGCCTGTCGCTGTATTATTTGATTCAATGTCGGTAAGCCAAGACACTTTCTGACATAGGTACAATATATATACTATATTATATAATATATACTATTTTATATGATGACAGAGTGAGAAAATATACCTATTTGTAAATTTGACGTTGGTAACAAGCATGCAAATAAAAATGTCATTTGATTAAAACGCCTGATTAAAAAGCAAAAGCTTGGTACACTTAAAAATAGTTGAGAGTGGAGGATGTAAGTTTCTGCTGATGTTATTATCAGATCATACAGATACTTCGATGAAGTAAGCTTGCTGATAACTTGACAAAAATGCAATTAAAAAAGTAATTGCAGTAATAGATACATGGACCAAAGAAATAATTGTTTCAATAAACAAATAAATAATTTGTTAATAATGCTTGAGAAGTAGCATTGCATTAGGTTTAAAGGGAAAATAAATTTTAAATAGTGGAACATTGTGAAATGGCAAATAAAGTTAACTTTAGTTGACAAGATGATATTAGTTAATATTAAATCGCTTAAGGATAGGAACCACGCTAGTAGCTTAGGACAAGTGGGGTACCCTCTCAATATAGTCTTTGAAATGCACGTTGTCTCACATCTTGACTGAATGCTATGCAAAAAGAAGCGGATTGGAATGCTGATGGACAGTATGAACATGACAGAAAAAATATTTTATTTCTGGACAAAATTAAACTTAATTTAAAAATTTCATTATTAATTATATTTACATTTATTTTGATATGACGCATATAATTGGTTTGTTTATTTTTAATACTGATAAACTTCATGAAGTTTTTTTTTTCATAAGTCCTTAGGGAGATACTTTTTATCTGAGGTATATAAATAAGATTTAATAACAGCATTTACTCTCCCAACAATTTTTCTGTATTTGATGACGTTTCGGTATCCACTTTCTTATCCCATCTTCAGGCAGTATCTCATCCTAATATCATCTTATTTTTTTTTCAAGATTTGTCATAATTTTTATATTTTCATAATGCATCCCTTAAATTATATTGTGGGCTCCTCTAGGGACTAGACTCTCCCTAGTAAATCCTGTTATTAAATCTTATTTATATACCTTTCATGAAGTTTATTGTGAGTGTTTTTTTTTTTTTTTTCAAATGTCTTGAGAGAGCTATAATGTACCGAGCAGTTGGAAAATAAATTTGGGGATGGGCGGGGAATTAACGACAGAGCTAAAAGCCCCCTTGGCACCGGGAGGCGAACTTGTAATAATTTTATCATGATAAATTATTTTTATCAGATTGCCTGGCAACACGTGTTTTGCACATGCGTTAGCCGCATGGCCACTCCGGAACTAAAAATCTACTGGAAGTATAAATGTTCAAAATGTCACCAAATTGACAATGTATTGAAAGTGATCATGTAGGACTCCTAAATCCAACTTCGTATAATTATAAGCAAACGTTACTGTAATTAAATCTAGTTGCTGAAAAAAAATTTTGATTGCATTTTTAAGAGTAATTTTACTACGCGTTTTACAATGGTCATTGGCGTTAAAGATGCATGTTTATTCCAATAATGGCCCACGAACTATTAAAAAAAAATTGCTGCTTACGACAAGCAATGGAAGAAAATCATTATTGACGGAGGATAAATTAGAAGGGTTATAGACCATCTCACTTCTGCCCGAGATAGATAAGACATTGAGAGTTAAAGTAGCAATTTGTCTCCTTCGCTGGGTTTTTACATAAAGTGTCCAAACAAATGGACCCTGAATGCTAATGCTATGAATTCACTCTAGCGGAACGAAAACGAGAACAAATATTTACTCTTTTCCGCTTAAAAAAAGGAGAATGAAAAGGCGGAGGAATGGCGGTGTGACAAAATAGGCGATTTTTTAAACCATGTTTTTATCTAGATTTTAGGTTTAAAAAAAGACAATCATTGTCAAAAGTTGAAAATAGGTTCATTACAAACTCAATAAAGTAAAATATTTTTTAATTCGTTCAGATAATCATTATGTAAGTGATTGTTCTCATGCGATCAATTCTAGCACAAAATGATGCACAATGAACAATTTAAAAAAATAATGCTATAACCTTGTTCTTATTTGTATCAATCTTAATGGGAACAAAAAAAAATGTGTTTGCGCATGCGTAAGTAATGTTTTATATTTAATAAAATTAATATGAAATCGTAATAATTAATATGTAATAGTATAGTACTGAGCATTATGACCTATGGGTCAGAAATACGACCATCAGAGAAAAGATGGAGGCTAAAAGAACCATTCTAGAAGAGATTGAGATAAAACGCCTGAAGTGGTATGGTCATTTGAAAAGAATGACTGAAGGAAGACTACCCAAAGAAGTCCACTTATGGAAAACTAGGGAAAGAAGAAGAAGACAAGGAAGACCTGAGATAACGAAGTGGAGGAATCCAAGATGGGTTATGGCCTACGGGAAGAATTGACCTTAGTTGGATATTATGGAAAGAAGCCATCCAAGATTTGGGTTAAGGAAACCCACTATTAGTGGAAATTCCTAAGAAAAAAAATTAAATCAACTAGATACCAACCCAATTTTAGAAAATTCCATCAAAATTTGATTAAAGCAGTTGGATTTATGCACGTTAAGTAGTTTTGATTACAGGTGTGGACGAACAGGAAACGTAATTTGTTCCAGTGACATCCAAATGAAAAAAATACCAATATCTTATTTTTATTTGTTTTTAATCTTGATTTTAGAATTTGAAAAAAAGATTGTCAAAATTTGACAACAGATTTGACAAACTCTAGGAAGTAAAATAAAACTACAGTAATTCTTGAGATAATCGATGTTTCAGCGATTATTTTCTTGTAAATCTTGGCATAATCGCTCCTTTTCCCGCCCCCGAAGTCTGCGTCTACACAATCTTGAAAAATTCTTCAAAATCGGTTTTAAAACGAGTAGGCTTTATGCAATATCATAAAATGAATTTTATTACTTCTATAGATAGACAAGAAAATATATTTACTCTCCTGGTATTATTCTGCATGAATAAAAAGCAGCCCTGACTTTGGCTGTTAGAAAACAACAAAATAAGAGAAAAATGAAAAACTTCGCTTTTCGATAGAAACATTTTTTTTTGCTTCATGATTTAGAACTTTGTAGTTCCTTAGCTTCTCTATTAGCTACTCATTTATTCGCATGAGTCTGAGCTTCTTCTGTATTTTGACAGTTTGATATAAAAAATCCTAGATAGTATCAGTAATCAAACCTATTTTCAAAAGTATTCGTAAAATAAAAAAAAAAATTACTGAAACAAAAAAAAAATACCTTCGTTCCTGACGCATTGCCGATGGACACACACTGGACGCTAAAGCGTGCAGAGAAAACGACAGGGTGATGGACGTAAGAGAGCGTAACACGGACTCCCACCAACTGTTTGGGCGAGAGTGTGCCCAACTTTCTAGATCAGTGACGGAGTCATTGTGGTCCAGGGAGTCGGAGGAACCAGGAGTAAACAAGAGGAAGAATCATGATGGACTTTTCGTGGAACAGGAATGAAGTAAATACTTCTGAAGCCCAAGGATTGCCTTGACATTGAGTAATATTAAGATACTCATCTGTAACCCAAAGTGGACTGTGAAGCGGACAAGTTATATAACTGAACTATCTTTTATTAAAAAGCAACAATTTGGAACATGTGTTCGCAACCAGAAGCTGATATTATATTCAAAATTTTCTTATAGAATGCCATACTTTTCAACCAATAGTTAAAATGAAAATTATGATTGATTGCAACTATTCGACTCAGTTACCGAACAATAAAACAACAACAAATTATAAAATAAAGATTTCAGACCTCAATATTTTCCGGCGAATATTGTAATATTTTTCTACTAAGTATTAAATTTAATAGATTTAATTACTACTAGATGTCATTATTAATATTATTTGGACATACATGTACATCAGGCAGAAGCATTAGTCAAAACAGCAATGAGCGCCAAATCAACAAGCATTTAAATTATTTCTACAAATATATATATAAAATTTACTCACTGTCTGAATGAACCCCATCTTCGATTGGGTAAATTTTCGTGGTTACTAAAACAAAAATGAAAATATAATAAATTTCATGTATATTATAACCAAATCTTTAGTTAAGTGTATAATTTATTAATAAGAAACTACCGTTTTGATTTTATGTATAGTTGGATAATCTTTACTGAAAAATTCGTGTAATTCATGAGTTGAATATAACATATTATTATTATTATTATTTTATTTATGTAAAAATCCAAACTACTAAGTCATGAGTCTCCATCATAAAGGCAAATAGTTAACTTGCAACGTTTTACCAATTCAGACATCATCAGGGTAGAAAAACCAAGATCACTTATAAGCATAAAGAAAAAAATATATGTATATGTATATATGTATATGTATACATATATGTATCCTATATATATATGTCCTATATGTATATATATATATTATAATAAAAAAAAAAATAAATATATATATATATATATATATATATATTAAAAACAAAATATATATAGCTGTAGTAGACATCTCACGAAGCTAATCCGAATACCAATTATTTGGATGGCTTTGTGAGATGTCTACAGCAATATATTTATTATTTTCTTTCTGCATATAAGTGATCTTTATCATATAATACCAATACCAATATAATTTATAATAACAAATATTTGGATTAACTTCGTGAGAATTCTATCACAGTAATATATATATATATATATATACTATATATATATATATATATATATATATTTTTTTTTTTTTTTTTTTTTTTTTTTTATGCCTCTGAGTGATCTTGGTTTTTCTGTCTGTAGACATCTGAATTGGTGAAACGTTGGCAAGTTTGGATTTTTCATTTATAACTCTTTGCTAGCTTTATGTTTATAATATTTTATTTTAGTATTATTATTTTTTTTTTTTTTAAAACGATTCTAAATTGTTGAAACTTGTGAAAGAAATATTCAATGAACTTTAAAGAAAGTAAAATAAACCTTTATATAATGCCGAAAATTTGAATTTATTGTACCCAAACAGTTTTGGATTGGATCCCAACTTTGGAACGCCGTTAGACCTATCCAAACAATCAATTAATATTCCTAACAAATTTTTAGTGGTGATTAGAAACCAGGCACATCAGCTTATCAGAAATTATGCTTAACATTTGTACTTAAAACTAATTAAAACAGACAAAAGATAAAAAAGTTTATCATGATCTTTCACAGCTATAGATTATTTTTATTTCCATTCAATTGTCTAATTGTCATCTAGGTTTTAATTTTTTTTTTGTAAAAAAACAATTTTTTTTTTATTTATTTGAAAAGTATGTTTAATTAAAATTCATATCGACTAGAATGATTAGGATTAAACAATGTCAGTAAACCTCTAGAGGTAATTTCATTTCGGTCTTAACCATTCTATTTTCTTTGCACTATTGTTTTCACAGTATAAAGGCAAAGTAACATTAACCCGTAGACAAGGATAGTTCTCAGTAACGTGTGACAAATGATACCAGGCTCACGTAACCGACTATTTTTGGTGGGAATGACACGTATTGTTACCTAATATTGTTTTAAATATCAGTATAAAAATATATTAAATAGTTACCTGTGAACTCAAATGTTTTGAATGAAGAACTACATACTTTAACTAACAGTCCTATATGTAGTTTGAGATAAGCGTAAAGAAAACATTTTTTTTTTTTTCAAAAAGTTCTTATGGGCAGCAGTGATTAATTACATTACGACCAGTGAAGTGGTTGAGGGAGAATCTTGGGATCTCCTGAAGCCTCGTTTTTCTCTCCACAAGTGGGGGAACAAGTCTACTTCGGAGTTCCCATGGCCGATTGTAAATAGGTATGCTTCGTCTAAGATGTTTATTTTTATTATTTTTTATTTTACTTTTTTTAAGAACCTTTTAATTCTGTTTTATTTATTTATTTTTATTTTATTATTACTATTATTATTTGTTTCTTCTCTCATTATGACATTTTATTTTGTCCTTATTTCGCTGTATATTATTTTAAAATTTCCTTATTTATTTTGTAAATACGGTGTGAATGTGCCCTCTGAACTCTGTTATAAGTGTCCTTAATTGATACAGATTGTTATATTTATCAATAAACAAGTAATCTATAAAAAATACACAACATATATGTTAGATTCTATTACATCGCCGGTACCATATTTAAGTAATGAATGTGAACCTTTCCAACGTTGTTCGATGATATGTACAATATAGATATGATTACTTAAATAAATTTCGTTGGTTCATAAGTCCTAAGGGAGATGTTTTCAATAAAATATATGAAAATCTAAAACGGTTTTTCTCCCCCCAAAAAAATTCTTTATTAATATATACCCGACGTTTCGGAACTTTTATCTTATCTTCAGACCAGAAAAAGAAATATTTTTATTTTTTATTTATGTGTATATATTTTTAACAATGCCTATATTTATATAAATCATCACGTTACTAGCCGGTTACCATTTATCATCTAATATATCATAAGACTTGTGAATTTATTTTGTGTATATATATATACAATTCACAAGTCTTATGATATATTAGATGATAAATGGTAACCGGCTAGTAACGTGTGTGTGTGTGTGTGTGCGTGTGCGTGTGCGTGTGCGTGTGCGTGTGCGTGTGCGTGTGCGTGTGCGTGTGCGTGTGCGTGTGCGTGTGCGTGTGCGTGCGTGCGTGCGTGCGTGCGTGCGTGTGTGTGTGTGTGTGTGTGTGTGTGTGTGAGGTTATATTTTTGTTAAAGGTTGTTGTGTTAACCCATAAATAAAAACGTGTAATTTAATTATTAACTTGGTTTGATAACAACTGATTTTATTAGTTCTACCAGATTAATAAAATCAGTTGTTATTAAACCAAGTTAAAAATTAAATTACACGTAATTATTTATGGGTTAAGAAACACAACTTGTAACCAACTATATAACCTTCTGTCCAATACCAGCTGGTATTTACATATAGTATCTAAATTAGATCAGTGTTGACTAGGCTCTCCCTAGAGAAGGATCCACGTTAAATTCAAGGTTAATTAATATATTTGTTTATAACAAAATCTATAAAACTATACATGGATATGTGTGTGTATATACATGTGTGTATATATATCTTGTGTGTTAGGGACCAAATTCTAAGGTGTTTATTATTTGATATATTTAATCTATTATTTAATTTAGTTTCATATTGGCTCTTAAAAATAAATATGAAGTTAAAATTAATGATACAATATCATGCTTAGTTACTAATAAATATATTAAAAGTAAACATACTTGCTAGACCTCTTGAGACTCGTTCTCAGCCACGTGTTCCTCTTTAGGCTATTGCCGTTGGAAAGGCGAGTCTCTCCACTTCTATATAAAATATTTAGATTTATTCATAAAAAAATATATTTTAATACAATATTGTTATTATTTACATAGAATTAATATGAAAGCATACCCATTGATATGACCGGACAGGGAAGTGTCCATCTCAACTTCACCATAACACTCATAACTTTCTCCGTCCGACATGCTTGAACATCGGCTAAAAAAAAAAAAATAATAAAAAAACAGGAATGTTTATTTAATATATAAAGTTCTTAAAAAAAAACATACATACAAATGTTTTTGGTTCTATTGTATAAATGAATAATTTTATCTTATCGTATTGTCAGAAAGCAGTATAAATCTGGACTATATTATGGCTTTAAAAAAAAACTTATCTCATTCTCCCCCCAAAAAAATAAATAAAATTTTAAAAGACCACAGAAGTGGCTCTAAAATATATAAAAAAAAGTTGTAATTCATTAAATTGATGGTAAAAAAATAATAATAAAGTAATAATAAAGTTAACATTACTCACCAGTTTTTTTTAAATTTTATTTCCATAACTTTTTTAGTATAAAATTAATTTTCTATTTTAAATTGTATTTATTTATTATGATTTCGCATTGTGTTTGATAAGATTTTAAAACATAAATTATACATTCATAAAATGCTTACTAACAAAGATCATGCCGTCATAAGATACAACAATAAATAAAAACAATATATAAATTTCTAAAAATATTAATAAGATTACACACACCCATCAAAGAAATAAATTAAAGATAAATGTAATTTTAGTAATATTGTCTTCTAGATGTTACTAAATTGAAGGATATTTTGTAATGAGGCAATGTAAACCTGATGGGCTTATCGCTATAAAGAAAAAGTTGTCATAAAATCTTCTCTTTTAATTATTATCATCAAAACTTCTCTTTTAATTTCGATAGAAATCACAGATTAACCTGTTCAATTAGAAAACATTTGTCAATAACGTAACAACGATCAGACTATAGGAAACAACTCAGCAGGTCCTAATTATAATTTTCCAATCAACAAAATTGACAAAGTTTACAACAAAGTTGATGAGATCACAACATATGCAAAAAATGAGTTCGTCACATAAGTAAATAGGTAGATCAAAAAAGTTAATAATTTCCCTAATGTTACATTCAATATCGGAACAAAAATAATGATTTTAAAGTTTATTTTCGTTTTATAAATGTAGAGTTCTGTTACCTATTCGATTTGCCGTTGCTATCGACTTTATCAGTGATGTAATCATTAGATTCGTTGGCGTTTAAATTCCGCTGTCCCACGCTTGGAGCCATCATTCTCTCTTTACCCCCTGAAAAAAAAATACATTGAGTAAATTATTTAATAAATAAATAATATAATTTATATAATAAACATATTATAATTCAGTTCATTGAGAGATATTGTCGGCAACAAATTCATGTAACGAATGTTAACTTGCCCAACATTGCACGTTCATTACATTAACAAGGTGCCGACGAAATGTACTTCAAAACTGCCTCAGCCATACTTTCCACACAATCCAGTATTAATATAATTAAATAAATAATAAAAATATACTATATGTTAATAATTGGTATAACCAATATATTTTTGCATTTAACTCCTCTAATTTTTCATTCAGACTTACTTAGGTTTCTCCTATCTAAAAAATTAAAGTTAATATCTCTATAGAATACTTTCCACACAATCCAGTATCTAATGTTAAATAAATAAATAAAAAATATATATATATATCGGAACTTTATCTCTTCTTTTAAATTTTCTCACAAACATAATAAATTATATAATGAATCAATGTTAGTTATATATAACTCAGCATTGGATATTTAATTGTTGACCATGTATATAATGAGAGAAGTGTTGGGGCATATGTAGGATTTATAAATTACTTTACCATTTTACCATTCCTCCCCACATTATATAAACTTGAGTACTATAAAATATATAGATGTCTCAATATTAATAATGCTCGTCAGAAACATTCAATTGCAATACATTCCCTTAGGCAAGTCAAACTTCAATAGCTAGTAGATTTTTAACGTTCATTGAACAACTATACTGAAAATTAAGTGTTTGGAATGAAAACATCTTTAGGCGCGGTTTGCAATTTTTTCATGGAGAGTTAATTAGAATGAGCCGTCAGATCTATGATGTGTAACGCTCGGATAAAATCGGCTGGAGTCGACTAACTGAAGTGATACTGTATATTTATTAAAATATCTCAACAACTAAAAATTGGACCTTTATATTGTTAGTGATAAAAATTTTTAAATCTTGAAATTTCTTTGTAATGAGCTATTATTTAAAATTGGTCCCTAAAGTGGCCGTGTTAGAGAGGCGAAAAGGAAAAAATAGTGCCGAAAACCAAATTATAACGAGTTTTTTTGAAGATATTGATTAAAATATCCTAAAAAACTAAAAATCGGATCTGCATACAGTAAGCGAGGGAATTGGTCAGCGTGTGATCCTCTTTATAATGAGCTATTATTTATAATTTATATTTCATGATATTTATCCCGGCTTATTGATGTTTTCACTCCTGTCTTGTGGTCTAAAGCAAACACCTTAGTTTTTTGTGTATATATATTTTTTTTATGTTTAATGATGTAGGTGCGAACTGTTGGCATGACATTGATGAAAAAAACTAAGATGTGTACTTTAGAACACACGATGTAGTCCGTGGTACAGACCTCTTTTTACCGAATTATTTATGATCTATTGTTTATAATTTTATTTCATGTTGTTAATCTCGCCTAGTTGATGTTTTCACTTAAAGGGTTCCGTTGTACAGACCTCATTTTATCTAATTATTAACATCAGCCTAAAATTCCGTAAATAGTTTCATCGATGAGATAAGCTACGACGACTATTTTAACTACGAAAACTCTTGGAATTGGCGCGTCTTCAATCTGGAAGGGGGCAAACTTTGTCTATTTGCTTTCTACTAGGATCGTAAGGTAATTTGATCGATAAAAAAGGTGGCCTACAAAATTATTGGGCCGTTTACAGTATTCAGGTCCGATTTTTAGTTTCGGATTTATTTTAATCCATATCTTCAATAAAACTCGTAATCATTTGGTTTGCGACACTATTTTTCCTTTTCGCCTCCCTAACAAGCGTCACGTTAAAAACCAGTTTTGAATAATAGCTCATTACAAAGGGGATGAGAAGACGACAATTTCCCTAACAAACAATATGCAGGTCATATTTTTAGTTTAATATTTTAATCCATATATAAATAAAATCATTGGACACAATCAAAGAGACTATTACGGACAAATTATGCTAAACACCATCAAGCTAAACAGAAATGAAAGATTCACCTTTAATAATAAAACGTACGAACCATATCGTGCACAGATATAAACCCTTGACGAAATTTAATGCAATATCGCAAGCAGTGCTAACAACAGAGGAGTAGATCTGGTTCAAACCTTCGATAGCAAACGATTTGAAGTCACAACTTACAAGACTCCAACTGTAACTCGGGCCCTCCCCAACGGAATTCGTCGAACGGCTGAAAATATCCAATGCAAACTTCAATATTTCGTTTCTGAAATAAACAAATAAAACAAGCAATGAAAAATAAAATCATTCTTTCAAAAATATACCGGAATATCATCATGAAGAGTATCTCTGGGCCGCCTCTGTACCTTTAAGGAATTCCATGGAGGTTCAATAAAATAAGAAGACAACAAAGCTTATAAGGAAGCCATTAATTACTACCGAAATCTTATCCCTTAAAACACACAAAAAATATTAAATAAATCTCATCTGACGTAATTACAAACATATGGTGTTCAACATGAAAGCATAAAATTTTGAATCGAAGAAAATTAATCGATAAAATATGGTTAAATAATAATATTTAAAAAAAATATTATTTAAATTTATTTGGTCTAACTTATAGTTCTGTACAAAGAAAACAAGTTATCAAACTTCTCTGGTCAAAATTTATTTATACTCTGTTTTTGGAGTCCATTCCGCATCTACCCTAGCGGGTCATTAGCGGCTTTAGATGTAATCAAATTAGGTGTACAAATTTAATGTCTTTTATAAATTCAAATACTTTTTGTATCTTTTCTTCGTCATCTGAAAGTGCGTCAGATATGTTGGAAGGTATATTATGTTTTGTTCTGGTGTCAGAGTATAGTCTGCAAGTTGTTACAATGTGTTTCAGTGTAAGTGATGTGTTGCATGTTTTACAAAATGGTGGTTCCAGGCCTCTCATTAGGTAGCCATGGGTAAAGGCTGCATGTCCAATTCTAAGCGAGTTAAAATTATTTCTTCTTTCCTGTTCTTTCTGAAAGAGGTCGTCCACGGTTTGGTATCTTTTTTAATTTCTTGCATTTATTCGTAGATTGGTTCCACTTGAATTGCCATTTTTCATTTAGGATTTTTTTGCATTCCAATCTCCAGTCAGCAGTGGTCGTTAAATTGATCATTGTGGTTCCATTAGTTTTTCTTCTTGCCAGGTTCGCAGCTCTGTCTGCAGCTTCGTTCCCAGATATGCCACAATGTGAGGGTGCCCATGCGAGGACGATGTCTCTGTCCGGCGACTCCTTCATTTCCCAGAGGCAGTTTTTGATTTTCCTGGAAATGGCATTGTCGGCTTTCCCTTCGGCAATGGCCATTAATGAGCTTAAAGAGTCTGTAACTATAAGGCCATTTTTTATGTTTTTTTTCTGTTAGTAATAACAAGGCCTGATATATGGCGAATAGTTCGCCTGTGAAGACGCTGTTTATTTGGGGCAAATTGAATTTGAGGCACTGGTCTTGAAGTATTATTGCACATCCTACGTCACTATCTGTTTTTGACGTCGAAAGAATTAAAGTAGCATTAAGGAGTGTGTCTATACGGTCCTCAGCTAGGCGTTATACAGTTTAATCCACCCTTATCAGTTCTCTTTAGTTAAGTAGGTATCAAGTTAAATAAATTAATCATTCATGTATTTATGACTCGTTTATAAGCATACTTGTATCATTACTGATATAGCTTAAAATAAAATTATTGAAAATTTAAAAATGAGATAAAATATATCTAACTGAAACCATCGTAAATTTTTAGTTTTAAATATTAAACTTATACTTTGATACTTAAAGATCGAAAATATGGTAACGTGGATAAAAAAAATTAACGTTAAAAACCTTCCTACCAATAACGGTTAAGATTCATGAATCCCTTTAAATTTTAATTTTTTTTACATTCTTCTATTTCTATATACTAATTCATAAGTTGATAATTATTTGAGTAAAGTTAAACAACTAATTTTTTTTACGAAACCAGTTGTGGAGATATTATAGAAGTTGAGATTAACGTATGCACTAACGTCATACGGAATAATGTCCGTACTAGGAAAACAAATATTCTTACCTACTACGAAAAAATAAAGATGAAATTAAATCTATTATAAACATTAAAAAATATATATATTTTAATTTACTTGAAATCCAAACTGAATGAGTTCTATTTATCGATCGATCGACCATCCATACAGGTACGAACTCCATTCTCATATTCCAGCTTAAATCGGGATAACATACGGAACAACCAACAATACATGGTAAAGAGCATACTAAATAAGTTCAAGCAGCAAAACTGTGAGAGGTACAAGCATTACGAGAATGATTGGCAGGAAAACTTCTACCGTCCCTGGAGGCAAGGCCAACGGTGAGATCAGACTGTACTTGACATCTAGCCGAATCCCACAAAAGCATGAATAATACATAGATTGGCTTTAAAATAAATATCAGGCTAAAGTTATTAAAAATATATCTTTAAATTACATTTTATTTTAATATTAATAATATTAAATGAAATTTATTTTTAACTATTTTTTCTAAACATTTTAATAGCGAATTGTATTTATTTAACATTTATCAAACAAAGATCAAGTTGATTTTTTTTATTTTCAGGTTCATCGGATAGTATTAATGATTATTTTTAAAATTATAAATTAAAAGTTATAAATGGATTGTCATATTGTAATATATGTAATACATAGGTTTTTCGAGCAAGAGATTCAGCAAAAGATAAATTATAATGAAGCATTTGTTAAGTTTTTTAAAGTAGTGTTGTGTAAACTTTTTAACATAAAATAGAAAGTAATATAAATAAAAATAACTCGACAACCAGAAAGCTAATTCTCGTTCACTTGTGGTGTTAAAACAGAAAAATGTGTCAGCTTTTTTGGGGTCACATTTAAATCCTCATAACTCCGTTTCTATCTATGCTAGAGAGCCAGAACTGATATCATTTTTCAGAGAAAATAATCCATTACATATCGTAAAAACATTTGGATGTGGCAATAAGGCAGATTAATAAGAATGCATTAAACGAATAAAGTTGAATGTGCAGCCAAGTTATTTTACACCCTGAGGACACCGCGGGTTTTTTTTACAGAAGCGGTCTCTGTCCGATTATTTACTATAACGAGAAATAATGAAACGTCTCTATCAAATTCTAAATGACTTTCCTGGAAAGTTAAAAAAAAAATATATTATGAAATTGTAAAATACCAAACGTATTCTTTCATAAAAAAAAAATTCTCTTGGAATTTTTTTTTTTTTTGTTTTTTAAGAACATGTCAGAATAAGTTTATATATTTTTTCCTTTTATGTGTTTGTAAAATAAACGGAAATGACACGTGATTAAAAAAGAAATGAGAAGATAGTATAGGCCAGAGGAAGAAATGTCCTAGCAGTAGGTTTAAGACAATCACAGTAACAAAGACCCAACAAAAGAAAATAAAGCACAAAAACAATTCTGTGAGAGATTTTAGCCTTGGGGGACAGTAAACATCGTTTAGGAACATCCGTTCTTGATTTAATCAAAACAGGTTCTGTCAGCAGGGAATTCAGGAATAAAATAATTGAGTTTACAAGATTGAGACAGGAACAAATACTTTACGTGGTCTTGTCTCCTCCCCCTTACTCTTCGCTTATTAGTAGTAGACATAAATTCCAGTTTTTTCATTTAAAAACGTTTTTTGATCTAATTATTATATTTATAGTACGCCGTATAATAATAGGCCTGAATGAGACAAAAAAGAAAAAGACAACAATAAAAAACAAAATATATTGAGAACTCCATCGTCCGTATACTATTAATACTTCCAAGATGACCAACCTCAGATAAGTATCTCAAAAATTTACATCCAATCGAGAAAAAAATAATAAGCAATTTAGCAATCTTTCATATAAATATGGGTATTATCAGTCAAAAATTGAGCACTTTTTTAGTCATCGCCAAATAAAATATTGAATTCATCGTAACATTTGTCAGCTTGTTTTCGGAAAGTATGTTATACACATAAATTAAAAGGATTTCAAGGGGAAGACTTAAGCCAAGTTCCATTAAAATCGTTAAAGCCGTTTTGGCGTTACAGTTTATAGCGACACATTTTTTTGCGGCTTTGAACAGAAAAACATTTACATTTTTTTTTTTTTTTTTTACATATATGAAATTATCGTAAGACAGAAGTACTCTGCCAGAAACCTTCCCAGGAGTGTACGGAACAACTTCCGAAAGTTTCATGGCGATCAGTTGAATGGTTTAGTAATGCACTAAGGACAAACAGACAGACAGACATTCATTTTTATATATATATAGATATTGTGAGTATTAGAACCACCAATGATAGTTAGTGCATCTAATGTAAGTAGAAAAATAATTTTACAATTATGTGTTTTATTTAGAAAACAGATAAGTGACGTTTTGAATTGGCATTGATGTAATACATAGATATTTGAAATTGAAATTATAAATTGTATTTTCATACGAAGACTCCTTTCATCCTCCAATATACGTGGTGAAAGAGAAAATCGAAATAAAATAATTCTCTAAGAAAGCAGTATAATTTTATGGTTAAAAATTTATTTTTTTTTCAAATTCGCTCAGTAAAATAATTAGCTAAATATTATTTACCGGCATGATGAGGTAATTAAATATGTACATATAAACTTATTTTGAAAAGAAAAAGGTTAAACTGTTTTCGTTCAACCTTATGCTTGCTCACACTGCTGCATATTAAAGAATAAGATAAACATATTTATTTATAACTTTTTTTTTTCTCTCTCTTCATGCTTCTATCCACACCTGTCATAATCTTGACAATAAGCAAATGTGATCTCATTATAAAGAAAATTTTCATTTTAGGCATGAGGAAATTTAAAACTTAAAACAAAAAAAAAGGGGAGGGAATTTCGACATGGAAAGCCATTACGAATTTTTTTGTGTGAATGGAAGGGTTAATATAAATGATGATAATATTATAGAGATTATAGCAATAAATTTTATTTTTAATTATTTCCTCATCAATTCTCAACAACTAACCTATTTACTTTTTAATAACATTTGCCATAAACGTATCATTCCTTATTAATATACGGATGATTGAGTTCTCAATAAAATTTGTATTGTTGTCTTTTTGTAACAAGTATTTCATATGAGAATGTTGTGCAGTAATTGTAACTATTTTAGATATATGAAGTTTTTTGTCATTCGTATGTGCTTACAGTACTTTTGATTTGATGAAAAAGTTCGGAATGCACAGAAAGGTTTTTGATTTTTAGCTCTTTCAAGAATGTACGCGTTGACTTTTTGTAATAAACCTTTCTGTAAATTCCGAACTTTTTCATCAAATCAAAGGTAATGTAAGCACATCCGA